GAGAGAGAGAGAGAGAGAGAGAGAGAGAGAGAGAGAGAGAGAGAGAGAGAGAGAGAGAGAGAGAGAGAGAGAGAGAGACGTGGGGTCGGGCGGCGACCCTTGGGGGCGACGCTTGGGAGCGAACAGGATGTGTCAAAATGGGAGCAGCAGTCCGTTCCAAAGGGACAACGGCCCAGGGGCCCCAGGGGTAGACGCTGCACCACGGGCCACTTTTCTTAACACTAATTCTTTCACCAAATACTAATCAGTATTGACGTGGGAGTGGGTGGATTCGAACGTCGAAAGAATCAGAGGGTGGACACGTTGGAAGGTACGGTGGCCCTGCCCAAAACGGATTTCATGTACTCTTGTTTACCGTATGACATCAAGCACATCAACCTCCTCCGCTGGAAGGCAGCACGAGAAAGGTAAACACAGTTGGGTCTGCACAAATGCACAGTCATCTGTAGCATCAGGAATGGAGAGCAAGAAAGCCCCCGCAGCAACCGTACCAAGCTGAGTCCTTTCCCCTGCCGGGCCCGTCACCGCTTGATTACTTGCAAGAAGGGACCGGGGAACGTACAGGTGAGGAGAAGGCAATGGTAAGTAAAAAGACAATCCAAGACATAAGGAACAAAGATCACAAAGGAAAAGAACTGGTAAAGGAGGAAAGGAAAAAGGAAGGAAATAAGGAAGGACAACCACTCAACCAGAAGGAGACTCAGCAAACACAGAATGAAGGGGGGCGAGGGGAGGAGCCTTGCATCCCGGACCCCTAGAAGGAAGCTTTGGCCCGGCCCCGATGGAAGTAGGTCCGTCCCCTCTCCCCTCATCTCCGCCCCGAGAAATAATTATGGAAGATGCTAAGATACCAGGTGACCAAAATAGCAGCGAGAGCAGTGACTCACAACAGGGCCAGCACGTCCCAATCGAACAGAAGCTAATTCAGCTAGCGGATTGGCTACGAAGCAGCCTCAAAGTTAGATATGGACCGGAGTTAGACGAATTTTGGGACACAAAGTACCTGAACATCTTCTCCATTCTTGATGGAAGCCCCAACCTTACGAGAGTTTTGACAGAACCCCTGCCACCTGAGCTACACTGGCCTGATGTGGGTAATCGTGTCATGGCCGAGCTCCTACCGCCCCCATGCCCAAAAACAGAGAAACAGGAAGGAATAGCCGAGAGGGAGGAAAGGCCCCATGGGATGCGGAAGCGGGAAGGAGAGAATAAAGGACCGGAGCCAGGCGTACAAACGGAGGCACATGTGACGCGCAACCTCACGCCCTGCGCTGCTTTCCGTTCGGTGCGCTAAGGGTGCAGAAAGGAGGCCCCGAAAAACAGCAAGATGGGGTGTGCCAAGGATTTTTGGAAAATTGAGTGTGGGGACACAGACAGAACTGAAATCCCCCGTGTTCTGAAGAAGTGAGCGATTTGGCGGGTTTCAGCACGCGCGGGATTCGCGACGTGGGGAAGTTTCGAATTCAATCCAAGAAGTATTGTCGGACTTCCCACCGGGCTACGACTCGTCGTTTGGAGTGGAAGGGAGCGGGCACGCATTTAGTATCCCGTTTTCGCACTATCTCCCGATGCCGCACACTACACAATTCTGAATCTGACGTGGAAGGTCTCAATCGTGTGGCCCTTTCCTTGTGCTCGTCCTTGTTGCGTGTTCGGTAATGGAACCCCTTCGACTGGTAGTGATCGAAACGTTGGCAGTCACTACACAAGGTGTTAGGCCAATGGGGTGCCATTGCTGGCCATGGAATGACGATCAACTCGTTAAAGGGTAGCAGTAGTGAGTACGGCGGAAAGTGCGTGTCCACAATGACAAACCCAGCACCTACGAACCCAGAACACTGATTTTCAGGAGGGAAATAGAACTGCCCACCGATCTTTGCGACGGCTTCTCGTATGTCCCACTCACAGATACGCATCCTATCCTCGTTATACGGAAAGGGGCAGAGAGGGGATACGGGAGGCTGTCGCCTAGTAGGGTTGAGCCCGTTAGTCCACATGGCAAATAATCAGAAATAATTCAACCATTCATCGCGTGCATGCAATCCTTGCAATCCAATCGAAAAGGCCAGACAGAGGGTTCGGTGAAAGAGAAAGAAATGCTCATGTGTGGCGAGACACGGTCACTATTTTGTGCTTAGATCGAGTGTACACAAATCAAAGCATTCTTGCATTTCCAAATCCCAACAACATTGCTCCTGTCATCGACTCGTTCTAATCAAGGTGGATTTCATACCCGTTCATTCTCATCTTTCATGCATGCATTCACTGTGGAAGGTGCGAAAATGACAATCATACAATTTCTCAACGAGGTGGCGTTAAGGGAAGAATTTTTAGTGGATGATACATGCTTATCCACCGTTCACAAGACAAATCCATCAGATCGGGGGACTACCCAGGAAACTAATGGAGGAGTTCCGGAAGGAAACCATTCCAACATAGTCATCACACTCATTCCTTCACACGCCAACTTTTGGCTTATTACGTAGAACCATCCATACAAGGAAGAAGGAGAAGGAGAACTGCGACTGAAACAGACGGGGATATCGAGATTGGAGGGAAGAGTTACACTGAGATGGAGGGAGAAAAAGAAGGTTCAGCTTTACCGCCGCAAGGTCACACCAAAGAAGAGATCCGTAACCAAGATGGCGCATTCGCCATCAAATTCCAACACCGCCCCGGGTCAGTCATCCGCTCAACTCAAATCACCTGTCCACATCTCTAACACCGACGATCCCGGCCGTCGCGCGTCATCCTCCACCACTGCAATCGTCACCCCGCCAACTTAGTCTCGATGTGGCTTGCCTGGATCCCACAGTCCGTCGTGGCGATCTAGCGTACCGCCAGCCAGTCTACAGTCGGCTCATCAGGACTTTCCGACTCGCATCTTACACATCACCTAGCCACTACTTCCCAGAAGCTGGCCGATGAGTTGAGAGAAAATTTTGCGGGGGCGCCGACGGAATTTATAGATGCGAAAAGGGAGAGAGATGCGGAGAAGGGCGAAGGATAATGCACAGGAGGACATAGGAGAGTTTTGGAGCGACCACCCATCGAAAGCCATGTTGATCCCTCCTGACTTGACCTCAGCCAATCAGAATCGTCGTGCAGTAAGAACTTACACGACGTTTCTCCTTGGCTGGATGGGGAGAGAGGATCGACTGGGTTTTTGAGCGCGGATCTTAGAGCAGGAAGAAGAGGATCGCGAAGGATAGCATGAAACAGGTCCAAGATTCAGATGATCAAGAAGGAGAAGGAAAAAGGCGTGCGCTGAGAAGGGGAGGGAAAAGCAATTACAGGGGGCGGGGGCAAGAAAACGTGTGCGCGCGAAAAAGGACGGTGAGAAGAACACAAGTGAGGAATGAGGAGGAAGCTTGCTTACATGGCGCCGGTCAGCAAGAGGGAAATGGCCACCGAAACAATTGCAGTTTTTCCCAATCCTATGCTTATTCAATATTGAAAGTACCATATCCGCGCGCAAAACAGGCGCGAGAAAGAAAGTCTTCCGTCGATCCATATTTGAATATTTCTATAAGAATTTCCTAGGGTTTTCAAGGTCGAGGCCGAGAACATTCGCACGCAGGAGGTCGCGCGACATTCCGATAATTCCGGGATTTCTCAACTGTCGAGCCAAATTTCAAGCGCAGTTGCTAAGGTGCACGAAATTCCCATGCATTTTAATTTAAAAACCAAAAGAAAAAGAGCTGACAGATTTCCGTGAGGTACCTTTAATCGGCCACAAACAAAAAGCGGAGGGGGGAGGGGTGGGTTCGGGGCCGAACTGTACACATTTGGATGCAGAGAAAACACGGGAAAAAGGAAGGGGTCCGAAAGATGGCGCAGGTCCGGAAGCTAGTACGTCACACACAGGCGGAGATATAGAAAGTGCTTAGCACCCCGGGGCAGGGCACACCCCTAGAGGATGCCCAGAAACAGCCAATAGGCAAACCACCTCTAGAGGACCCCAGTTCGAGTGCCGGCCGACATTGGGAGAAGGAGCCTTTCACAATGTTTAACTGTCGTCTGTGGCAGTGCTT